AAATAGACGCTGCCAGGACCGCCAAAAAGTCCCTGATAATTTCTCCTAATCACTATTTGTTCTCTATTCCCCTCCCCAACTTCTATAGATAGTATTTCTTGTTTGCGACATATATAAGTAGAATCACAAAGTTTATTTTCCATTGTAATGGACTTCTTTTTCCCAATATTATCTTTATGAGATATGTCTTTATTTTAAATGTAGACATACTTCATTCATTTTTGGCCATTCTAGTGAATGTATAGTGGTATCTCATTGTGGCTTTAATTTGTCATTAATAAATCTATACGTGAGCACATTTTCCTACATTTATTTACTGATTGTTTGAGTATCCTCCAGTAAAAGGTCAGTTAACAGGTTCGAGATCCACCTGGGCAGCAAGACCTCATCTCTACAATAAATCAAAAAAAAATCATGCCTGTAATTCCGGCTACTCGGAAGGCTGAGGCGGAAGTATCGCCGGAGCCCAGCAGTCGAGGCTGCGGTGGCCGGGAGCGGCCACTGCACTCCAGTCTGGGAGACAGAGTGAGACTCCAACTCAAAAAAAAAAAAAAAAAAAAAAAAAAAGGTCAGTTAAAATATATTGCCCATTTTTATACTAACATCCTCATATTGATATATAAAACTTATTTATTCTTGATTCAGTTTCTTTGTCAGTTATGTATGATGAAAATATCTTCCTATATTATATGGCTTATCTGTTCATACCCTAGCAATTTGAAGAACAGAATTCTTCCATTTTAGTGTGGTACAATGTATAAATATTGTTTTTTACATCCTCAAGTTCATGAAAATTTATTGCTTTGCCTTTTAAATTGGTTCACTAACCTATCTTGTACATGCTGTAATATAAAAACAAGGCTTCACCATTTTTTTCCAATTAGCTATCCAATTATCTTATTATATTTGAATATATTTCTAAAAATAATTGTCTTTTTTCACCAATCTTTAGTGTCAACTGCACTATAGATTAATTATTCATATACTTGTGTGTCTGGTGTAATTATATCTGCAATTACCTACATCTGAAATTAAGCTCCTCATAATTAACATTACCGAAAGATAAACCTTAATATCTGATAGAGTTAGTACTCCTGAGTTTCTTCTTCAAGAATGTCTTTGGCAATTCTGAATCATTTGAATTTTTATATAAATTTCAGAATAAAATTATCACACTTCAAATAGCATTAAATTTTGAGCAAATTGGCATCTATATTGCATAAAGAATCCCAAGCAAAATATTTACCTTTCAATTTTTAGTTTTCTTTAATTTATCCCAATTAACTGTTAGTTAAATATCTAGCATGTTTGCTATTAGACCTATTCTAAGCTATCTGATATTTTTATTCTATTGTAAATATGTTTAATTTTATTTTTTGCTATTTAAAAATACACTTGAGATTTGTATATTGACATCTGGCATCCATATTAAGTGAATTCATTTTAAGTATTTATCTACAGATTATTTAAGTCTCTGCCTTTATAATCTTTATATATTTATTTTATTTGATCTGCCTTATTGTGTGATCAAAAATCTCCATCTAGACTTAAACTGGAATGGTAGTAACAAGCATCTTTGTCTCTTTTTTCTGATCTTAAAGGAAAAGATTTCATTATTTCAGCATTCATTCTGAATCTGGTGCGTGCTGTGGGACTTTTGCAGATATCTTGTTTTTCTGCTTAAGTATGGTTCTTTCTGATACTCATTTGCTAAGTTATTGACCAAAATAAATGCTGAATTAAACCAAACGCTTTATAGTATCAGTTGCAAGGATCGTGTCACTCTTTTTTACTCAGTGAATTGATAAATTACATAAATTGCCTTTTAAATGTTATCTCATCTTATCTGATACACATATGTATGTGCATATAACGTATCATTTGCTAATTTTTTGTTAAGGATTTATGCATCTATGTGAATGAGTGTTATGAATCTATAATTTGTCTTATAAAAGAAGACAGAAGGAATTCCATATTTATCTATTATATGAAATAATTTTATAAGGTTGATATAATTTCTCCTTAGTGTCTTGGTAGGATTCCCTAAAAGAATCATAACAACTTCAAAGTTTTCTTTTCAGAAGCTTTAAAAAAAAATTGAATTCATTTTTAAATAAATCTTATATTTTTCCACTTGTTAGTTTTTCTAACTCATTATTTTCTTTATTTTTTTTCCTTTTTTTATTATAAAGATGTGGAGTACAATTCAGGGTTAGATATACAAACCTTGATTATGCAAGTACCCTTGTTGATGAGGTATGCCCCTCACTCCCCTAGCAGTTTGCCTCAACTGCCAATCCCTCCCCCATTCCCCTGACAGTTTCCCACTACTACCAATCCCTTTCTTATAGTATTATAATTGTTCAAGGTCCGCTTATGAGTGAAAACACATGGTACTCTGTTCTTTGTTTCTGTGATAGATCACTGAGTATGACCGACTCTAAATCCATCCAAGTTGCTGCAAAGTCCAGATATTTGTCCTTTTTTATGGCTGCATAATATGCTATTGTGTATATGTACCACATATTTTTACCAGTCCAGTTTCAATGGCCAACATGGTTGCTTCCATGTTTTTGCTATTGTGAATAGAGCTGTAACAAACATGTGTGTACAGGTATCTTTTCTGTAGACTGTAAATCATTATTTTCAAAGAACCTTACATTATGCCTAAATTGGCAAGTTTCTTGCCCCCCCAAATTTTCTTATAGTAAGCCTTAACATTGTTTTTAAGCTTTTTAGAATCTCTACAGATTTTCCCATTTATATTTCTTATAGTGGCTTCTTTGACTTTTTTTATTTTTCTTGATTGGTCTCACTACAAATTTATCAACTGTATTAGTTTTTCAATATACCAAATTTTGTGTTGTGAATGATTTTATCTTGGTGATCTGGATTCTTCTGAAGTTAGCATTCAGGTGATCTTGCCTTTCCAGTTCCTTGAGGTGTGCCATTAGGCTGATTATTTGTGATCTGTTTTCTTGATTTGTGTGTGCAATGTTGTAAATTTTCCTCTTAATACTATTTTCAAGGCATACTAGAGATTCTGATAAGATGTGTCTTCGTTTTCACTTGTTTCCAGGAAACTTTTAATTTCTGTCTTGATTTCCTTGTTGACCCAGAAGTCATTTAACAGTGTATCGTTTAGGGTGCACTTCTTTGTGTGTTTTGGGGGGAGATCTTGTTGGTGGCGATATTTATTTTTATTCCACTGTAATCTGAGAAGATGCATGGTATTATTTTGATCTTTTGACATTTGCTCATGCTTTATTTATGTCCAAGAATATCTTAGAGTTTGTTCCATGTGCTAATAGTAGAAAGTATACTCTGTAGTTGTTGGGTAAAGTGTTCTGTAGAAGTCTATTAAATCCATTTGAATGAGGGTCAAGTGGAGGTTCCAAATCTCCTTGTTGGTTTTTACCTCAGTGATCTATCTAAAGCTATTAGTGGATATTTAGGCATTTTGCTTTCTTATTTATGTACCATATTTTAAATATGTCAGTTGTAAGCAGAATGTGTGTTTGTGTAAATGTGTCTGGTATGATAATCTTCGTCTTTACTTTTAATTAATCCTTATCTTTTGGTTTTTAATTGCAGTACTTAGTCCCCCTTGTCTAATGTAATTACTTATATATTTGAGTTTAAATCTTTTATCTTAACCTTAGCTTATAAATTTGTCCCACATTTATGAGACAAATGATAAGTGTATAATGTTTTTCTTTCTCTTTGTTGCCTTTTTTGTTAATCATGCTCAAAAATTCTTTCTTCCTTCTAATTGATTTTGCAATTTTTCAAAATATATGATTTCAAAATATGCACTGGCTTTGTACTGGGTTAACATAGTTATAGTAAAATACCCCTCCCCAATTATTTAGTGAACCATGAACTTCAATTTTGGTTATTCCTGCTAACATTTAGCTCAGCTTTCCTGCCTCATGCTCACCTCTTCTGGAATCAACACATTCCTTTAGGAGAAAATATTTTATTTTATTTTCAATTTTTATTTTTAATTATTATGGATATATAATATTATATAATTTAAATGGAACACATGTGGTGAATACATGACTGGCATACACAGTATAATGATCAAATCAGAAGTATCTATCACCTCAATATTTATCATCTCTTTGTGTTAAGAACATTTCAATTCCACTTTAGTTAGTGAAAAATATGCAACAAATTATTGCTAACGATAGTCATCTTATTGTGCTATTGATTATGACCTGTATTTAAAAATGTTTAATATCTGAAGCTTTGTGCGTCTAAATCTATTATTTTTTTGTTCTAGCAATCACTGTTCATGGTGGCTTATTTCTGTATAGATTGTGAGCTCATGTATACGTGTGTGGCTGATATGAATCTGTAGGAATCCTGAGGTATCCTGGTTGGATAGCAGTCCTCCAGTAATAAGAACTACGGGCTTCCATCAGGGGCCTTCAGTTCTTACAAACCTGGCATGAATTTAAATCCTAAACACATATGTAATATGTATTTGAAATCTAATCCCTGAGAAATCTGAAGTATAGTTGTGAATTCTCAATATGAGAATTTTGTTCATTCATTTTTCTTTTTGTTTCACTTTTCTAGAACTGGAAAGAAAACAGGCAATAGTCTGTTTTCTTTCTTTGCTTGAAAAAAGTGGCATATTTGTTTTGTAGACAACCCTTCTGATAAAGCTGAGGCAGCTAAATATTGTTGTTGTACGTGGAGGCTGAGGGTTTGAAGAAGATATAATCTAACATTTTACTGAGGATTTCGACCTTTTGGAAAAAGGAAAATAGCCAAAAAAACTTTAGAAAATTAAGATGCTTCACTTTGCAAAAGTGACTAGATCCTCCAAAATAAATGAATGAACAAAAACTTGGTTTATTCACATTTATAAGAATGTGTTAATTGCAAATGCATAATAAAAAATTGAAACTTTTCATTGGATTACTGAAATCAAGTTAAAGACAAATGTTAAATAATTTTAAAATAACTGTGCATAAAACAGGACCTACCAGATCTTTATCCACAACAATATGCATTTTAAGATATCGAGGGACTAACTTGGTGAATTCAGTTCTCTGAAAAACACACATCAAGAATCCTGAGAAATTTTCAAAAGTTTGCCTTCTACTGAAATTATATTTGGAGATAAATTTCAAAACGAGTTGCTACTGATTACATAATGAGGTTGTTTTCAAATACAAAATTTAGGTACTATTCAAAAAATTCCAGTTTTAGAAGTGTCCTGGTGAACACTAGAGTTTTCCACTAGACTTTTCAAGCTATACTATGAGAACCCAAGCTATATAATAATTAAAACTGGGTTTTTTTGTTTGTTTGTTTGTTTGTTTGTTTTTGAGTCAAGTCTCACTCTCACTCAGGCTGGAGTGTAGTGGCACAATTACAGACACTGCAGCCTCAACCTTCTGGGCTCATGTGATCTTCCACCTTGGCCTTCAAAGTAGCTTGAACTACAGGCACATGCCTGCCACCACATCTGGCTAATTTTTGGATTTATCGTAGAGATGAGGTCTCATCAAGTTACCCAGGCTGTTCTTGAACCCCTGGACTCTGGCAATCCTCTTTCACTTCTGCCTCCCAAAGTGCTGGGATTACAGGCACACACTACCATGCCTATCTGATTTTTGGATTTATTGCAGGTCTTGCCAAGTTGCCAGACTGGTCTTGAACCCCTGAGCTCAGGCAATTCTCTCACTTCCACCTCCCAAAGTGCTGGAATTATTGGTGTGAGCCACCATGCCGGGCTTGATACTGGAAATTTTAAGTTTATAACATAAAGCTTTACTTTTCTTAGACTTCTAATAATCTTCATGCTAAGCTTTCGTGTGGGCAGATTTTCTGTTACCAATTGTCAGGAAATTACTTTTGGTAAACAACGTAGTTTAGAAAATTTTTACTAAAGCTTACAAGCAATAGCTGTTCACTAGAGCTAGGAATGTTATTTATGATGGGTTTGAAGTTCTATGCCGAGGAAAACAATCATCATTTTGCTTTACATGGACCTTATGTAAGTCACTGATATCTATTTTTGAACTCTCATGAAACACTCAACTGAGAAATTCAGATTACATAATATTCTCACCTAAATTATCAAAGTAATTGAGGAAAAGGAATACTTTATATTAATTATCTAAATGCTAAAAAATAAAAAAAATCATGTGAAAATTAATGTGTTAGCTTCTTTTAGTCCTATATACACATCTTTTTGTTTCCAAGATTAAGTCTTTTGCTGAACCTTCATCTCATGACAAGCATAACAATGACCATAAATTTATTCTCTAGCCCTTTTAAAAGTCATGCAAAAGTAAAACTATTTTAAGATTTGCAAGTCACTAAATCAAAATTGGTTCTGAAAGTATTTTTTAGTTCACAAAATTATACCAAATAAATTAAGACTCAATACTTACCCCTGACCTTTTTCTGACTTGATACTGACTTGATAACCAAGCATAAGTGTCATTTTCTCCTAAGAGAGGAATATTAGTGTTATCATTTTTTTCCTCATAAATCATGTGCACAAATCCTGATACTGCCTCCAGTGGTTCAATTCCATATGAGATGTTTTCCAATTGTACTGTTCCCCTGAATGTTAAAATAATTAAAAGAAGTCTGAAGTGATTCTACCAAAACTACAATTTAATATTATAATGATAAATTTGGGGCAGAATTTTTTTAAGATTTAAAGTCACTTTAGTTTTTCTACACTATTTCATTATTCATTGAGGTCTTACTCCAGACATAGACCACAACACCACAGGATAGGTATTGCTTATATGACAAATCTTCTTTGATTATCTTAAAGAAAGCATGGTAGTGGCATGGATCTATGTGTTCAACAGCTTAAAATCCCTTTCAGTTGTATAGATTTTCTAAACCAGTCTGTAGTCTCTGTGGGCACTCTCTTCCTTAGACTTGGATCCCTTCTCTTTGATACACTTAACTCTCCTCTGGCTCTTCATGTCCTAAATAATTTGCTTGTGTCTGTTGAATTGAAGGTACTACATGCCTAAAAATGACTGAGTACAGAGTCAGTGTCTAACGGTCTCAGGCATTCTATAATTGTCAGTAATTCTAGGACATTAATACACTGGACAAAAGCAGAACTTGAGAAAACTAAAGTTTAGAGAGATCAATCAACTCCCCCTGACATTCTGTCAGTATCAACAGGTAGGCTCCCTTCAGATATAGATACTGCCCGGGGACTAATCCAATCATATTAGGAATGCTAATTCAGACCCTAGGGAATTGAAATAACAAAAATGATTACAAAATTAGAAACGAAATATGGAGAATTGTTTCATAGACTAGCAGGATATAATATTGGTAAACTAAATATCTTTAAATGGTCTACAACCTGAGTCCTGAACATGTGCTGAGTGTCACAAGAGAATTTAGAATACCCACAACATATCCTTTATAATTGCAATCCATCTGAAAAATAATAAGGAAAGAAAAACAAATGGATAACTTATTTTTAAATGAACATCCCACATACATCATTTATATATATATATATATATATATTTTTTTTTTTTTTTTTTTTTTTTAGAAAGCAGGATTTATTGAGAGAACAAATCTCCCACAGTGGTAAGGGACCCAAAGGGGTTGCCCCATCATTTATATTTATTACTTTTGCTATATTTGTACCTTAATATGAATGGAAATCACCCAGTAAATGTGTGCAGGTGGAAATAATTTCAGTGTTATTTAATTTCAGTGAATATGTAAAATAATAATCTAGTAATTTCAGAATATTTGTGTCTTTAAATAAATCTAGAATAACAAGTCTATAGGAAAAAATAACCTGTCTTACCTGATGTAACAAAGGCTCAGAAATTTTGATGTCATATTTGTTATAAGAATAAACAGCAGCAGTTGGAGAGAAAAATGATCTAGGCAAAAATCACAAAAACATGCTCAAGCTGTGAAGCAGAAAAAAATTATTCTTCAAATGCAAATTATCTTTTAACTGAGAAATTTAAAGTAGTGCTAATCAACTTGTTCTGTCCTATTGTCCAAATAATTCTACCACTTACACTAAATTTGGTTCTAAGGGAGGCATTTTTACTAGAGTGACTTATAATACAAAAATAGAGGTTAATGAACAACCCAAACTGCTAGAGATGTCAAAATGATATAGCATATGTCTCAATTTCCAGCAAAGACTTTCAAATCCTTGTCTTTATCATTCATTGATCTCAGATTTTATATCCAAGTCTCAAAATTAAAATAGGACATAAAATTCAGAAAGATTGTCTTGGTCTCACTATAAATTCATATTCATTATGCCTAGCTAACTGCCAAATTCTCAATAATATTAGTCAGAATTTTATTTTATTTCTCTCAGTAACTATTTAAAAACTTGATCCCTCTCCTATCAATCATCCCACATAACCCTCATGGCTCCCTCACTCTCAAACCGCTTGTTCCTAGTCACACTCCTTATCTCTATTTCCAGAGGATTACTTCTTTTATTCAGAGCAAACCCTTACACTGGTGCTATGAAGCTCATCCTGTGCCGTGTACAGAAGATATATAGTTTTCCTCTCCTATAATTTTAAACTCTTCTACTCTATTGTATTTGTATTGTAATGCCATTTAAAATGTTAGTAACAAGTAACTACTGTCTTAAACAACTCTCTCTTGACCTCATCTCCTGTTGCTGCTATATTTTTCCAATTCTCAATGTATTTCATCAAAAGAATTACCTACACATATTTCCTTTGCTTTCTCAATTCTTATTTACCCTGAAATTTCCCTGAGAAAAATTCATAACCAACAGGATATCAAATCCAAAGACATTTTAAAAATCATTTCTGCACTGGTTTTCTAATTTCTATTTGAAAACTGTGGTCACCCAATCCAATTACCTAATTTCTATCACCCTCATTCTTCTGCTTCTCTTCCTACTTCCTTGACCCTTCCAACTTGATCTTCCATGTTGACTGGGTTTTTTGTTTGTTTGTTTGTTTGTTTGTTTTGTCCTACTTATTCCAGAATTATTATCTTTCCCACAATTCAGTCTTTTGCCACTAATCTATTTATAAGCACCTTATATATAAGTGCTCATTAAAAAAAAAAAGAATTACAGTTAAGTTACTGCTTAGTGCTAAATCTATATTCCTATTGCTAAAGCTATTTCCCTATATTCCTACTGAATATTTTCAGGGATTTAAATTCTTACATTCTTCCACCTGAGAGGTAAATCCACTTGGATATCTTAAAGAACCAAAAGCCAAACTCAACCCTTCATCACACAAATATCTTCCCTTGTTTGTATCCCTCAGTTAATTACCTCTCCAGTTTCTTGAGCAACAACTAAATTATCTGAAATTCCTTACTGTTCCCAAACACTCTACCAAATCTATCTTGAGATCTATTGAGTTTTTCTTTCTAGTGCTATGGCAGGTGCTAGTGTTCAAACAACCACTGTCACTCACCTCAACTATTATATAGTCATAGGTAATCCTACCTCACTTTTGCCCTCTCAAAAATGGCATATGAAACTCAATGTAACTACATAAGCACATGCTTAAAATCACTTTTGGCTCTCAATATCCTTACTGTGGCATCTTCTACAACCTGGTTCCTGACAACCTTTCCAGAATGTTTTACCTCTATCTTCAGAAAATGCATCCTTTAGTAAGTCACACTGCCTTTGTGCACATCAGAAAAGCCACTTTGGTCTCACAACTCTATTTTTCATGCATGATTTTCTCTCTAAATAGAAGGCCCCCCTGCCCTATCTTTCTTCTTCATATAGCTAATATCTTCCTTAAAGATACAAGTCAGCTCTCATCTCCTTCCTAAAAGCCTTCCCTGACATAGGAAATAGTATTTACACATTTATAATAATACCATATAATAAAATTATCTGCTTTTCTATAAAGTATCTGACTGTGTCTTTCAGTATTAGAAATTGTTTTTAGCTTTTAAAGTTTTATTCTCTTTTGTGTGCCCAGAACTTTGCCTAATACCTAGTTTACAATAGGTATCAATACATTTTAATTGAAATGATTTTTACTTATAACTACTTTTTAAAATCAAGAATTGGAAGAATTAAACTTTGAAAGGACAAAATAATTACTTACTGCTTTTTGAGATCAACAAGATATGGTTTTCCTTCTATTGTAAGAGCATAAGCAACCTGTAACAAAATCCAAAAAAAGAACACAAAAATAATACATGCTAAATAAGGTGTTTTCTCTAAATTAAACTTTTTAAAAATGACAAAAATAAAATAATAATATATAATCATTATGTTGGTTTTCCTTCCTATGTGGATATTTGAAGTTTCAGGATTCTAAATTGAGAACTAGGGAGTAAAGCACTCAAATGTCTACCATTCACCACTACTCATATTTCTGAGGGACAAGCTTATCTGATGCCTGCTACCTTTTGGCTCAGACAGATTCCACCATCAAAAATGCCCACCTCACCTGAGATAACTTGCTTATTTACTCTCAAACCTCCTGGAAGAAAAATTTCCCTACCATTGGAAGAGTACTCCCAAAAGATAGAACTACATGAAAGGTAATATACCTCTAGCAGCACAACAAGTGCCATTGCATTTTATTTAACTCTGTGAGCAAAAAAATTCTTCTGGAATAGGGTGTAGGAGGGAATGGAGGGAGAACAAAGACATGTCTAGAGAACACGCTAGAAGATAACAAAAATTCAATGGTCATTATGTGTTCAGTTGGGCTTCTGGCAAGATGGTGATGGGACAGGTCAGACTGTGAGAGTCTCCATAAGAGCCAACATCCGTAAAGACTCTGCGTGAGTAAGCGTGTGCCAGTGGGTGAGTGAAAGTCTGTCTGAGGGGAGACTCAGGTTCATGCACCCAGGGCTCTCCTCTGGAGGTGACTGCACCCCCCCCACCCCCCCACTGCCCCAAGATTGGAGCTGCTGGTGTGCAGGATCCTCTGCCATTCTCGGGACTCTCCTGAGAAGAGCTTGCCGAATTCAGCTGATTCTTATTACCTAGCGCCTGGCCCAAACCATAACCTGTGACAACAAAGCAGCTGGAGGCCTGATCCATCCATGGAGAGAGAAGATGGGGAGAGCTGAGAGAAGCCCCACCCCTGGTGAGGAAACTTCAACTGCAGAGACCTGCATTGCCCCAAAGCTCCGCCCAGCCTCCAACTTGGGGCCTAAGGTAATCTCATCAAACTTGGAGAGACAGAAGTCCCTCCCCCACGCTGGATTGGACACAGACAGGTCAGACTTGACCTGAGTGGCAGACTTGACAGGCAGCAAGCCAGGTGAGTCCAGATCTGATCCACCCTCCCCCGCCCCATCCTTCCCCCCACAGTAGGTCTGGGGCATCTGACTCATGCTGAGAGCAACCATATAAACCTACCCTGAGAGCAGAGGGGAGGAGCTGGAGATCAGAGCTGAAAGGAAGTTGAACTTACAGGAGTGGCCTCAGAGAAAGTTTTATTTTATTTGTTGTCTGTTTTGCTCATTTTTGTTTGTTTTTTGTTTTAGTTTTTTTTCTATCTTTCAGTTTTCAATAACGTTTTCATACTTGCTTTGTTTCGGTTATTTAATTACTTTTTTTTTAGACTTCCTGTCTGTGTATGGATATTTTTGAGGGAGAGTACATCAATAGGGGGATCTTTTTTATTTTATTTTTTTGTCAGTTTGTTGTTTGCATGATTGTCTGCATGTTTTAGGTTTTTTTTTTTTTTTTTACTCTTTTCTGTCTCTGTGTCTCTTTTCATTTGTTAGTTGGTTCATCTGTTTTCCCTCTTATTCCTTTCTTTCCACCTTCCTCTCACCCCCTCTTCTTTCTTTTTCCATTCTTTCCTTTCTCTTACCTCATTTTGTTTTCAGGGAGCAAACCTATACCCCCACAGCATGGGCAGATTGTAAGGCAGTGGGGAGTCAGTTCCAGGGGGCTCACACACTTGTCATGGATACTGGGCTCTGCAGATAGATTCTGAATCACAGCTTCCCCCCCTCAATTAAATCTCAAAACTGCAAACAGTACAGCGTCCACCACAGTCCAGTTTCAGAATTGAACAAAGTCAGAGGATTCACATAAGGAAGACTAGGAGATCAAGCAAACAGAAGTAAAATCTACCCCCCACCCCGAGCAATAGAATTAAAGAAGAGGAGGGGAAAAGGAGGGAGAAAAATCTGCACAAATGAAGAAAAACCAAAAGAAGAATATGTGTCTCACACAGACCCCTGGGAGTTCAGACATTGAGAATACAGACTTCAGAAGGCAAACAATGAAGAGGCTCCAGAATGACTGGTCTCAAATCACAAACCTAGATATCAAGACATTAATAGAGAGAATAAATAGAATCGAGGAGTAGCAAGAGAAAAGAATAAAGGAGTTGATAACTGAGATAACAGCAATAAAGAATACAGTGAATGAAATAAATAACAAACTGATAAGCATGGAAAGCAGAATTAGGCAAGCAGAAGAAAGAATCTCAGAGTTTGAGGACCAAAATATGGAACTAACCCAAAAACATAAAAAAGAAGCTTAAAAAGACAGAGCAAAACCTTCAAGAGATGAGCAATTATTTCAAGAGGCCAAACCTAAGAGAAATTTGACTTCCTGAGGCAGAAAGAGAGACAGAGACCACAATGGAGCAAACATTCCACGAAATTATCCAAGAAAACTCCCCTCATCTCATCAATGATGCAACCATTCAAACATAAGAGATTCAGAGCACCCCTGCAAGATGACAAATGAGTAGACCAACTCCTAGACACATAATAATTCACCTACACAAAATAGGTATAAAAGAAAAATATCCTAAAGGCAGCGAGAGAAAAGGGTCGGACTACCTACAGGGGAAGACCAATGAGAATAGCAACAGACTTATCTACAGAAACACTTCAGGCTTGAAGCTCAATCTTCAAAGTTCTCAAAAATAAATAATTTCAACCAAGAATTACTCACCCAGCTAACCTAAGCTTCATCAGTGATGGAGAATTAAAATCTTTCCCAGACATCCAATCCCTAAGAGCTTATGCTGCCTACAGACTAGATCTACAAGAAACACTTAAGTACTAAACACAGAAGAAAGGAAAAAAAAAGAATGACAATGCCCTTCACAAGAATGCAGGAAAAAGATTAAAAACACACATGAATCAACCCAAAAAACAAAAGAAAGAAAACAAACAAACAGCAAAAATAGCAACAAATTCTATAGAAACCTCACGACAGGGATAAACTATCACATTTCAATAATTAGCCTGAATGTGAATGGACTAAATATACCACTGAAAAGATATAGAATGGTAAAATGGATAAAACATGATGAGGCAACAATATTGTATCCAAAAAGCTCATCTCACCAGAAAGGACACTCACAGACTCAAAGTAAGAGGAAGGGAAACTAAACTTTGGGTGAATAGAACACAAAAGAAAACAGGAGTCACAACCTTAATATCAGACAAAATACCCATTAAGCTATCAAAACTTTAAAAAGATACAGAAGGTCACTACATAATGATAAAAAGTTCAATTCATCAACAAGAAATAGCCATCCAAAATATAAGCTGGGCTTGGTGGCTCAGCCTGTAATCCCGCCCCTTTGGGAGGCTGAGGTGAATGAATTGCCTGAGCCCACAGGTTCAAGACCCACCTGCAGCGAGACCTCATCTCTACAATAGATAAAAAAAATCAGCTGGGCTTGGTAGCGCATGCCTGTAATTCCAGCTACTTGGAAGGTTGAGGCAGAAGGATCACCGGAGCCCAGCTGGTCGAGGCTACGGTGGCCAGGAGCAGCCACTGCACTCCAGTCTGGGCAACAGAGTGAGACGCCGACTCAAAAAAAAAAAACCAAATATATATATATATATATATGCACCCAACATAGGAGCACCGATTTTCATAAAGCAGCTTCTAGGTAAACTTAAAAAAGGTATTGACTTGAACACTATCATAAATGGGGACTTGAATGCCCCACTCACAACCCTAGACAGATCATCAAGACAAAAAATTAACAAGGAGATCCAGAACCTCAGTGTGAAGCTTGACCAAACGGACTTAACTGATACCTGTAGAACACTCCACCCAAAAACCATAAAATATACATTCTACTCATCACCACATGGAACATATTCTAAGATCAACCACATCCTCAGTCATAAATCAAGTTTAAACAAATTTCACAAGGTTGCAGTACTACTATGCACCTTCTCAGACCACAGTGAAATAAAAATAAACATCAACACCAACAAAGCTCCCCCAAAACCCACAAAGACACATACACAAAACAGCATGATGCTAAGCAAATTCTGGGTCAACATGAGAATCAAAACAGAGATTAAAAGATACCTGAAAACAAATGAAAACGAAGAAACATCTTAGCAAAACCACTGGGATGCTATGAAAACAGTAATAACAGGGGAATTCACATCTCTACAAATACACATGAAGAAAATGGAAAGATCACAAGTTAATAGCTTAACAAACCACCTAAGGGAGCTGGAAAAGCAAGACAACCAAAGCTCTAACTTCAGCAGAAGAATCTAGATCACCAAATAAAAGCCCAAATTAGAGACATAGAAGACAAAAAGATAATACAAAAAATAAACGAAACAAAAAATTGGTTCTTTGAAAAGATAAACAAGATTGATGGTCCCCTAGCTAGACAGGCCGAGAAAAAGCCCAAATGAACACAATCAAAATGCAAAAGATCAAGTCACAACTGACACCAAAGAAATACTAAAGATTATCAGTGACTATTATGTACACTTATTTGAAAACCTAAAGGAAATGGAGGATTTTCTGACATCACACAACCTCCCCAAGTTGAAACAAGAAGAAATCAAGATCCTAAACAGACCAATAACAATCCAGGAAATTGACTATGTCATAAGAAAATTACCTACAAAAAAACCCTGGCCCAGATGACTTTCCAGCAGAATTCTACAAAACATACAAGGAGGAACTGCTACCAATCCTACTGAAAGTATTCCAGGCAATCGAGAAAGATGAAACTCTTCCCAAATCATTTTATGAAGCTAACATCACATTGATACCCAAGCCAGGTAAAGATTCAACAAAGAAAGAGAACTACAGGCCAATATCCTGGCCTGTAGAAAATGGAAGATGAACATTGATGCTAAAATTCTCAACAAGATCCTCGCAAATTGAATTCAATAACACATCTCAAGAATTATCCACCACAACCAAGTAGGCTTCATCCCTGGGATGCGAGGCTGGTTCAACATTCATAAGACCATAAACATAATTAAATACAACAACAGATGTAAAAACAAAAACCACATGATTATATCATTAGATGCAGAAAAAGCTTTTGACAAAATCCAGCATCCCTTCTTGATAAAAACTTTTGAACATCTAGGCATAAGTAGAACATACCTCAAAATAGTAAGAGTCATCTATGAGAAACCCACAGTCAGCATACCACTAAACAGACAGAAATAGGAACCATTTCTCCCTGAAAAATGGATTAAGACAAGGATGTCCACTCTCACCCCTCCTTTTTAAAATAGTTTTTGAAGTACTAGCTAGAGAAATAAGACATGAGAAAGAAATCAGTAGTATCCAAATAGAAAAAGAGGAAGTCAAG